AATAAATATTCCTACTTTAAATATATTCAGCTATAAAGAAAGACTATGTATAATTAACAAAAGAGGTAAATCTGGAGAGAGAAATTGAAAACAATTTAAATAAGAATACTCCTAATTCAGCTGTCTGATTTCTTATATTCTTGATTGATACTATTTTCTATGTTTTCTACTATTAGGAAATATGTAGCTTATTCTTCTTCAAGTGGTGAATCTATATCTTGAAGAAAACATATAATGAATCCTTCCCGTCACCCATACCTCGCTCAACGTGCGCTCATTGGTGTTTCTTTACTTTCTTCCTAGTTGGACAACAGGCATACTATATTTTCCTCCTCTGACTATTGTCGATTTTCAGATTTTTCCTTCTTAGTATTCTCCAAGTATCCCCAACACTTATCTCAATCTACCTACACAATTTAGGAACCCTAGAACAAAATTAGTTGATGTCAAAGTATTTAAACCCAAGATTTTTCAGTTGAAATCCAAACCCCAACCACAACTCGTACCTACAACTTCCACCTAGACCTATAATTGACTTTCAACACCTTGGTTGGAAACCCAAAAGGAGTAAACCACCATGTCACCAAGGAAAAAGACCTAAAGAAATGTTCAAAATCTTACCATAGATCATATATGGTAGAAAAACCCTCCAATTGCAATAGAAACTCATTGATCTTGAACGAAAACAACACGAGAAAATCACTCACAACAATAAAGTTGATCGCCTGAATGGAGAAAATAATTTAAACCCTTTACGCCAAGAAAACTCAGTGACAAAAAGCCATGTTCTCATGACACGACTCAGAGCTAGTAATTAACCAATACGAGAACAGACGGTTGGATGGTCATAATAAAAAAAATTCTATTTTTATAACTGACAGTTTATAATCCAAATGAAATGAAAGATCCACAAAAAAAAGTAAATTAAAGTAATATAATTAAATTTATCTTTATTAAGATTGTTCACATTTTCTATAAATATTCTTCTTTTGCTCATATTTTAATTTAATTATTAAACATGAAAATGTTAGTTTAAAACAACACTAAACTAACGATAGACAGTGAAAGTTCAATACTTTTAAACTACAATAACACAATAAAAAAAAATAATATGCATCTCAGTTAAACTTTAAAAAATTAATAAAGAGCATTTGACAATTTATATTTATAAATATGATCAATCAAAATATTGCAAAACCATTATTATGTCATACTATATCATTTTCATTACTATATCATTTTATTTACAACTTTTATAAAAGCACCGTCTAAAATTATATCAACTAATGTACGTCAATATCAATATCATTTTTTAATTACATGCACGAGTGCATTAGTATTCCCCTACTAATACCATAAAAGGGTGAATTCAATCATAGTTAATCACGCGCATACAAAAATATTATAACAATCACTATATAAAAATGATTATTTCATTCTCATTTATATAACATTATATATTCTTTTATAACATCCAATGTCTATGATAATTTAAACAATACTAAATGCATGTCATTCATACAATATGAAAAAAAAATAATCAATAGAACCATGAGTATGCAGTAAAATAAATATAACTAGTAATAGTAAATACAATTGATCTAGAAGAAATAAAAAAATATATATATAACATAAGAAAATAAGTACTTGCCTCGATGTTCTCCACCTTTTACCCTTAAATTGAACTCCTTCACTTGAAATACAATGTAACGAGTATTCGTGTTAAAAAAATTAATTATGGTTGAAAAACCTATATTTATTCTTAACTTAGTCATTATAATTTAACATATTATTTTAGTTTAGTTCTTAACCTTATAAATTCTACATCTTCATTTTATTCTGTTTATTTAGTTACATCTTATTTCATTTTATTTTTTAATTAATAATTTAACTTTGTTAATCATATTCTTAACTTTTAATAAATTGATCATAAATATTATTATTTTATTATTATTATCATGCTTTCTTTCAATTATCATCAATATGTATTTTATTTTAATTTTCCAAATTCATTACTCCAAATTTTTTCAAGTGATTATCATTATAAATCTTAATTTGATACAAAGCCTAATCAATTATTTGATAGCTATAAATAAATGTTTTGAAATTACATTGAAAAACATAATTAAAATTACCTTTGACTCAACAACTTGCCCCAACACTCAACCTTTCTTGCTTGAGCTCATTTTAGTTCTTCCCAAACCAGAAATTGCACGCTAGGGCTCGACTTCCTTATCACAAGTGGGTTGGCTTGATCATTTGCATTGAGTTTCCTTTATTCTATGCTAAAGAGTCGTTTGGTTCAATCTTCCACCCACGAGGCTTCTACTTTCCTTATTTCTTCCTCAGCTCGCGCATAGGACTCACGTGCACTTCCTCATTTCTTTTTCCTTTGCATGACAAGGGAATGACTCCTCTTCCCTTCAGTTCAACCATATATAGCCCTGAGTCACCCGCATGACTTGTTTTAGAAGTCGCGAGCGCCTTCTTCACGAAGGTTCCTGCGCACTGCAAACCTCTTGGGCACCGACTCTGCCTTGACTGGCATTGTATTTAATGTTGTTGTGGCTCTCATTGTTGTAGATGAATCGCACGCACGAGCTGCTTGCCACTTTAGTTCCAATTTTGTGATTCATTGCCTTGGACTTTGATAGCAAACATCGCTCCTTTCTCCCTTCAGGCTTCCTTGGACTTTGATTCCTTGCACTTTAGTTCCAATTCGTCGTAGAGTATTGAGTATTTGATTTGCTCATAACCAAGGTAATTGCTTCCCGTTGCTTTCTTCCCCGTCTCCTATTCATCCTCACACTTTGATTCTCTCTCTCCTCATTGCGTAGTTCAAATGCGGCGTTATTCTCCTAAATGCGTAACTATCACGACGGTTATCCCTTTACAAAAAACAATAACACATTAAAATTCCTTGTATTTTACTTTATTTTTCAGCTATCACAGCGGTGTTGGTTTGGAATTGAGCATAAGAGGAAATGGTGACTTTAGAGTGAAGATTGATTTACTGGATTTCGATGGTCATATGAAACTAGACAAATTCATTAAGCGACTACAGGTAGTGAAACAAATGTTTGAGTTCAAAGAAATGCTTCTTATGGTGGGAGAACGTGAAGCCAAAAGGTGAAGTTAGTTACTATCAAGTAAAAAAAGAATGAATCTTTATGGTGAGAGAACGTGAAATGCCTACACCAATGTGAGAAAAAAATAAGATCACAACCTCATCCAATGAAAAAGATGATGATATGCAAGTATCTTCCAGCACATCACATATAGGACGTGTTCTTAAGACTTCATCACTTACTGACAAAAGAACCTATTAGTAGAAGAGTATATAATTAATTTTCAATAACTTATTTTGAAGTGTGAGTTGGTGGAGCAAAAAAAAAAACCATAGCCCAATAACTTAGAATATTGATATCATCCACCAGCAATGTGACGGAATTAGAACCCTATTGGAACTTACAAAGTCACCAGCCCTAAAGATGGAGAAGCAGCATGGTCGTATTAAGTCCACTCCACCCCTCAAACAGTGACCAATCATGGGATCAGACAGCAAAAACATACCAACTAGAGTACCCATACCTCACATAGTGAGGAGAAGCCAGGTAAAAAAATAGAATATGATCAAACCTATAACCTAAAGATATTTACATCTGTGAACTGTTTCAAGCGTCATGAATATAAAACACATTTCATCTAACTTCCCAGATATAAGAGTGATTTCTTTTGTCAAGTAGGGTGTAATGGAAGAAGCACAGTGACGACTCCCGAGGGGAGGAGAATTGGGAGGAATGCTAGCCACCCACGGTGATGGTGATAGGTATATAGTTTAACGAGTTATCAAGACCGAGCCCAAACAGGGATCAACAGTGGCTTAAAAAAACATAAAATCTTCAGTGCTCATTGTACTTAAAGGAAAATGTGTGCAATCTCATCATAGATGAAGATAATTGTAACAATATAATGTCTATCCAAATGATGGACATATTTTGTCTCATTATCCATAAACATTTCAAACCATATTCTCTAACTTAGTTGAAGAAAGATAATGATATCAGCCTTTGAAAAAATATTTAGTAAAATTTTTCATAGGAGAAAGGTTCATGATTAAAAGTGGTATGCATGTTTGTGGATGCATGTCACATTCTATTGGAACAACCTTAACAAAATGACAAGAGTACACTTCATGATGATTATAAAATACGTACTTATTTATCAAAAAGATGGCAAGCATATTATATTTTCAATTGAACACGTCAGCAGAAAAGAGTACTTAAACAGAGATAAGAGATAAAAGATAAAGTGCCTCGAGCTTCATTTCTATAGGCTATATAATTAATTTTGTGATAGTCCACAACATAGGATGATTAAATGATAGAAATATATAATAAGGTAACCTTTCTTTATAAAAAGCAGCTTTTAGTTGTAAGTTAAAATTGAGTAGCTAAAATAAATAATTTCATTAAGCATATAATTTGATATGAGAATACTATGAATAGAAGGGTAGTAAAACTGGCTTTGTTCTGTAAATCTTAACTGCTGGAAAACGCAAAAACAGTAGCAATTAAATTGCATTACTAAAGATGAAAAAGGCTAAAATGCAGAGCAATTTTACCAGTGGCATGTGCAACAAAACAGCAGAAGATGAAACACTAAACATGAAAATAAAAGTAATGTGGAACAAATACAAAGGAAAAAAAAAGGACCAAAAACACAACACTGGAAGGCATGAAAACAAATAATAATAATAATTAGGATCAACACAACAATCAACGCTTCACAGAAACAAAAAAAAATGTCAGGATGACCCAAAATTGTTAGGGCAAAACAAATGATGATGATCTAGAGAAAGCAAATCAATGGGATTTATTAAGAGATTTCACTAAATCACACATCTACACCTGCCTCCCATCATATGCGACAATAAGAACAAAACATCTTATTAAATCTTGTACTTCATAAAGAAAAGTCATCACTCTTTATCAGCATACCTTATTGCACCCATAATTGGATACTGAGTGCCTGCATAGTACAGAAGCCGAAAGAAGTAGCAATTAATAAACGATGAAGCATACTCCAGTCTCTTATCCCTTCCCATTATCTTCACAATTCATGGGTTAGTTAGAAATTATACAGCCACAAGAAAGCATATAAGGAAATAATATAATAAAAAATAGGCATTTACATTCATACATGTCAGTTCCTCTGTATTTACATATCCAACACCTAAACTTCCATTTTTACATTTTTACCACCCAACTTTTTCATATTACATCAAAAATGCCACCATTTTAACTTTTAAAAAGTGAAAAATACCGTTTTATGCACAGGTGACGTTGCATGTAAAATTTGAAGTATAGGTGCTAAATATGTAAATACATAGGATTTGAGTTGTATGCATACAAATCTTCCTAAAAAATAGTAACTTAGTATGAGCACTTACCTGCATTATGCCACTGGAACCGGGTAAGTCCTGCAAATAAAAAACAGATGAACGCCTAAGATGATGATCTTAAATTTAAAACTGAAGGCCAAATTAATTGATAGATTCTATAACTAAACAGTGTAATAGGTAGCTTACAGAAATACAATAGATAAAAAGTAAACCATTTTTCCTCAACTAATTAATTTTAGATTGTATAACTAGTTAGGTGTCTTCTAGCAGGAATAAAATGACAATATTTTCATGACATCCAAGGTCTAAGATTAGTTAGTACTTTTTATGTCATATAACTGAAAATGAACAACAAATGCTGTATTGGAAATTCTGATATGTGCATTATGGAGTCAGTGCTTTCTGGATGCTCAATCTCAAATGCTCAAATTACTTGAATAATTTTTGGGTATATTCTCAAATACACCTAATATCACATGTTATTTAAATTCCAAAAAGAACATTATGTGACATCATATGCTCTTTAAATATCTAAAAGTAAAACAGCATAGCATACATGTGTCCCATTTCAAAGATCAGACATGTGTTGACCTCATTTTTGTGAGGTCTTCTTTTCTTCTCCTTAGAGCCTAGGATCTAGTTCTAGGAGTTCCTATTGACCGTCCTAGAAAACTAGAATTGAGACTCACCCTTTTAGAAAATTCTAGTCAATTCCTATTTTCCTTTGATGTCTAGCATCTTTGGCACAAGACCGTCTTATAAACGAGTGGTTATGGTTATGGGTTGTTTTGCGAAGACTCAAGGGAAAAGTTCCAGATAGGACTTCAAGCCTTAAGAAAACATCGTCACAACCTTTTTCGTCATATACACACATCAAATACACAAAGTTCACGAAATTGCACGAAATCGGACTTCAATTAAGCCCAAAGGACGGGTGAAAATGCAAACTTTTCCGGATGACCTCCGACGACAAATTGGACTGCACCAACGCGTCCGGGATACCCATTTTGGTAGGAAAGGACACCCATATTGCTATAATTTCGACACGAGAAAATTGACACGCAAATCTGTGAATTCATCAAAATGACCTCTGACGGCAAAATAAACTGTACCAGAGCGTTCGGAATGTCGAAATTACCTAGGGAGGACACCTATTTGCTTGGGCGCCGCACATGGATAAATCGCAAGAAATTTGATATATATATATATATATA